GCAAAAGAGTGAGACTTTGTCTCAAAAAATAAAAAATCTAGCACATGCCCAGAAATGAATAATGACAAGAATGGATTATCACACAAACATACAGACACAGGTACATGCATATTTTTATATATATATTTGCTTTTATGTACCAATATATGTTTATATATGCATAGACTATTTCTGGAAGGATACCCTAGGACTGTGGTCCCCAATCCCCACTCCCCCACACCCCAGGCACACAGCAGGTGAGTAGCAGGCAGGTGAAGTAGCGAAGCTGTTCCTCATCACTCCCATCACCACATAAGCTCTGCCTCCTGTCAGATCACGGCATTAGTCTCATAGGAGTACAAAATGCCTGATGAGCCGAGGTGGAGCTGAGGCCGTGACGCTACTGCTGGGGAGCGGCTGCAAATACAGATTATCATTAGCAGAGAGGTTTGACTGCACGATAAATGTAATGTGCTTGAATCATTCCCAAACCATTCCTCCTCTCACTCCCATGGAAAAAATCATCTTCCATGAAACCAGTCCCTGGTGCCAAAAAGGCTGGGGACTGCTGCCCTAGAAGAATGTCGTTAATTCTGAGGAGTGGACTGAGGGATCATGGTAGGAAGGAGACTTACTTTTCACTGTATTATTCTCTATTATAATTGGTTTTACCAAGTACATGTATTACCTATTTAAATAGTGTGTAATTCTTTAATACAGCAGCCAGAGCAAATATCATCTCCTTTGAGCTATAAAGAGAACAACCCCAAACAGACACGCCATTCTAACCTTCAGAACTGCTCTCTGGCTCATGTATCGGTTGAGTTCCTTGTTGTTGAAAGATAGTATTTTCCTTTTTCAGTATTTCCAAGCTGTCTAAAGCCGTTCTGTGTTCTGACAGGGACTTTAAAAGGGCAATGTTATTTACTAATCCAGAAAGTTCTGAAGAATTTCTAGGATCATTCCAGCATTGTTTGCTTTCTCTGGCAGTTTCGACTTCAATATGGTCATGGGATAAACTTCTAATCCCTCCCAAATCTTCAGATTCAAGTATAAGTGCTTCTGTGGAAGTAACATGCTTTTTTCCCAGTGGGTAAAACAAAGAACTGGAAATTTGCATATTTGATTTATCAAGGGTAATACATTCGGAGTCGTTCTGATTGCTGTTTAATAGTTGGATACTGTTGTCACTGCTGGAGGTTGATGGTAAAATCTGTTCATCATTTTTGTCTAAGTCACTTCCCACAATAGTAGGCTGAGATTGAGCATCTTCTGAAAATGGGCTATTGTTTTCAGGAGTCTGATCAGTGGCTATGTTTAAAAAATGAGGAATATGTAAATTTGTGCTTGTATCTTTAGATTCATTTGGGAGTAAGGCAAAATCATAGTTAATTCTGACTTTTTGCATAGATTTATTAGAATCTTCTTTATTATCTATGTATACATCATCAGTACACTCTAAAGATGAATCAAAATTACTTAATATGTCACTATACTCCTCTATTTCTCTTCCAGTGTTCCCAGCTTTAATAGGCTGTGTATCAAAACCTACACAAGTTTTATCACAAAACGGTAATGGCAAAGTCTCTTTAACAGGAAATGTCTCTGTAGGTTTGCCACCAACAGACGCTAAGAGTGGCAAATGTTCACTGCCGATTTCTTGACAGCTTATATTCTCACATCTCTTTTGAACACATGAATTGCCATCGTTAACCAAAATTTCCTTTATCAAACTGTCTGAATTCTGGGAAATTCTACTGTTTTCTTGTGATTCCTCCTCTGTGTCACTGGTCTCAAAATTGTTCAGATTAAAAGTTACCTGCAAAAATGGTTCTGTTACATTACTTAGAGATTCATGAATACTATTAAGACTTTCATTATCAGTATTACTTTTAGAAAACATGTCTGTAATGTCATCAGAAATCCTAGGATTGCTACTTAGAGAAGATTCATTTTGTAGATGTTCTGTTTCTAGCAGAGATGACACCAGTTGTTTACACTCTTTTTCTGATGTTCCACGTGTATTTGCCTCCTGAACATTTTCTCTAATGAGAATTGATCCTTTTGTGTCCATTTGATTAAAACGTATTTTAGTATTTTCTTGAATGTCAGATTCTGATAATACACCATCATTTTCTGGACTGCTAACCTGTAAGCTGTCACTTTCGCAGAATGAAGGAAGTTCTAATTTTACTTCCTGATTCCAGGATGGATCATTATTATCTACTGGCTTGTCTACATTACATTTTTTCCCCTTTTCAGTACACGTTTCAAAGAACTGCGTCCTTTTTTGCACCAAAAGTTCTTTCAAATTCAAATTTATATCATCTTTCTGAGCCTTGGGTTTCCCTTCCATATCATTCCCATCTGCAGTAGAAAGTATAGGTGAACTCTGTGAGGATAAATACACAGCCCACCGGCTTTTATTTCTCATGGTATTTTCTGATGGATGCTGGTAGTGTAAATTCCCTGTGCTCTTCATCTCAGCCCATTCTTCCTGTTGAATTGGTTTAGTAGCAATTTTTAAAGTTTCTTGTGGTTGTATTGGAGGAAAGTGTCCTGTAACCTCAGAATTTAGTTTCTCACATGTACTAGCTGATTTGGACTTCAGAAGAGCTAATATCTGTGCTTTGCTTCTGATGTTTTGTGAAACTCCTAAACAATGAGATGACAAATTATCTCTTTTCTTAGGCTCACTGGTCAGTAAAGAGTCTGAATGGTTACTTCCAGAACTGATAGCAGAGCAAAAATAATTGTCTTCACATAGCATTGCTGGGTTAATCTTGAAGGATGGATCAGAGACAACTGAAGAAAAAGGCATGCCATTTCTCTCTCTGTTCTTGTAAGTCACAATGTTCTCAGGGTCTGTTGACATAGTATTTGTATTTTTATTGCCAACAGTAGGAAACAAAGGAGGTGTGCTGTAGAATGGAGAAAAAAAAGTAGGGCTGGGTTTCTTAGCCTCAAGTGATGTAGATGATTCACCATTTTCTGTAATAACCGTTTTCTTTGGAACCTGACGTGGTCCTTGAAAACCCTAAAAATATTAAAACAATTATTAGCTGTACCATTACCTATAAAGAAAACGTGAAATGAACTGACAAAGAAAAAAAAAAAAGAATAAGGAATGTGTATGCTTTGCCTAAGGTAAAGTAATAATTAAGATTTAAAGTTTGCTAAATTGAAATACAAACATTCATTTGTAGTAAGATTTTTCTAACTATGGTTTATTTCCTTTCTACCTAAGGATACTATGAAGGGCCATTTTAACAACAGAATACAATAGCTTCAAAATTCACTACTTTTTGAAACAATTTTATAAACATATTTTAAATTTTTTTTCAGATTCTACCAAGGAGTAAAGAAATACATATTGATGTATTATTGTCCACAGAGACACTTACAGTAAATTTCCTTTTTAAACCAGCGGGCTGACATCCAAGAGACCGGCCAGAGGATATAAACCTCCTTGAATTTAATTCTGGTGCTTCTT